AAAAAAAAAAAAAAAAAAGCTGACATATCTTGGCGCCTAGGTGGCTCAGTCGTTAAGCATCTGCCTTCGGCTCAGGTCATGATCCCAGGGTCCTGGGATTGAGCCCCACATCAGGTTCCCTGCTCGGCGGGAAGCCTGCTTCTCCCTCTCCCACTCCCCCTGCTTAAGCAGTGTTCCCTCTCTCGCTGTGTCTCTCTCTGTCAAATAAATAAATAAAATCTTTAAAAAAAAAAAAAAGCTGACATATGACACACATCACAAACTCTGGAAAAACCACGTGATGATTTTAATTAACTGCTCAAGATGTCCCTATATACCTTTTTTTTTTTTTTAAGATTTTATTTATTTGACAGAGATATCACAAGTAGGCAGAGCGGCAGGCAGAGGGAGAGAATAAGCAGGCTCCTCACTGAGCAGAGAGCCCTACGCGGGGCTTGATCCCAGGACCCCTGGATCATGACCTGAGCCAAAGGCAGACGCTTAACCAACTGAGCCACCCAGGCTCCCCCCCATAATACCTTTTGCCCTGCATTTTTGGCTCTGTACTCTTTGATAAGCTTTTTATGTGACAGTGCATTTGTAAACGTCACTTTCTGTTTTTTTAAGACTTTATTTACTTGAGAGAGAGAGAGCACAGAGGCAGAGGGAGAAGCAGATTCCCCACTGAGCAGGGAGCCCCACGTGGGACTAGATCCCAGGACCCTGGGATCATGACCTGAGCCGAAGACAAACGCTTAACTTAGCCATCCTGGTGCCCTGTAAATGTCACTTTCTAAAGAGAGAATAGAAAGATAATGGAATCTCCTCTAATATGGCTGATTAATTTTTTTTCTCCAACATTTCATTGTGAAAAATCTCAAACATACAGAAAATGTGAGAGTATTAGGCAGTGGACCCTCTGGATTGTATAACTGCTAACCTTTTGTTATATTTGCTTTAGCACATATCCACACATCTGCTTTTCCTCCTCACTTTTTTTAATGCATTTTAAACTAGATTGCAGACATTAGTAAACTTCACCTCTAATTACTTCATCATGCATATAACTCAAATTCAAATGATACTTTTTTTATTTTTAATAATCAGAGCCCACTCCAATGCCTACTAGCCTCCTGACAGGAGGCAAAAAAAGGAGTGGGGTGGGGGAGATTACTTAGGAGCTCAGCCCTCGGCCCCAGAGGCTAAGGGACCATGGCCCCGGTGTGGGACACTTTAATTTCTAGGGTCAGATCCCTGCCTTCTTCTCTTGCCCTTGGGGGGCCAACTCCGCCTCCTCCAAAGCATTCACTACCCTCGGTCTACCCAAGGAAGGCACTCCTGAAGTCCCCTGATCCCCATGTGACAGCAGGGGCTGCACCTCATCATACCGTACCCCACCATTGTCTCCTCTGCTGGGCTTCCAACCCATGAGGGCAGGCTCAGCCTGTCGTTCTCCTTACCTTCTCCCCAGTCTAATGCCTGGCATAGAGCAGGTGCTCTGTGAATATCTGTGGTAGGAGAGAGAAGGAAGGATGCATATCCTAGAAAAAGGGGAGGTATCATAGGTCCAAGGACAGACGGGCCACAGTGTGAATTTCTCTGTTTGTGCCCCATCCCAGGAGTGTAGTGGTCACGTTGTTATGGACAAAGCCAGTGCTGGGCAGGGGGCCAGCAGCCATCCCTTGCTGCGAGATCCCCGCTGACCTAGCCCTCTGGCCTCTCTTCCAGTGCCCCCGGGTCAACGGGGTCAAGGCGCACACTAACCAGCGCAACCGAAGACGGGTGGTCCTGGACCTGCAGATATGGTGAGCCCTCTTGCCTGTGCAGGCCAGGTGCAGGGGAGAGGGGAACACCGTGTGAGAACAGCCAGTTTGAAGATGGAGTAGCATAGTTACATTCTAATTTGGGGTCGGAAAGCACCTCACAGCACAACCGCCCCCCCCCCCCCACCCTGGGCTAGAGCACAAGGTCCCTGCTTGGGACGGGAAGAGTATCAGGAGAATGGATAGTCCCAGGGAAGCCGCTTCTGTTTGACCCCTCAGCCCAGGCCTCACTTCTCCCATAAGACTAGGCACCAGGCAGGCTCTGGGTCCCAAGGCCCAGGCCGCAGAGCTTTCTTGGGCTAGTCACCTGGAGGCTCAGGGCAGTCACCTGGAAGCTCAGACCAGCTGCCTTAAAGAGGATGCAGAAAGAGGGAGCAAGTACGACAAGAAGATGTGGGGACTTGTGGTAAGGCCCAGGGAGCTCTGAGCATAGGTTGTGAGAGATCTGTGGGAGAACTGGACTCTGGAGCCTAAGGAAAACAAGGATGCAAAGACACATGAGTGACTAGTTCGGTGGGTTGGGCAAAGGTACTTCTTTTGAAAGATATTTGTAGCAGGCTTGAGTCTGAGAGAAGGGACATTCAGTCCAGGAAGTCTTCCTGGAGGTGGTGACGTTTTAATTGTGCTTTAAAGGACCAAGGATTAGGGGTGCGTGGGTGGCTCAGTCGGTTGAGCATCCGGCTCTGTTTCGGCTCAGGTTATGATCTCACGGGTGTTGGGGTCCAGCTCTGCGCTCAGTGGGGACTCTGCTTGAAGATTCTCTCCCTCTGCCCTTCCCCGTGCTCGTGCTCTCTCTCTAAAATAAATCAATCTTAAAAAAAAAAGTAAAGGACCAAGGATCAACTGTGAAAGTTCCAGAACGTTGCAGTGTCTCATTTCCTGTCCTTAGCCCAGAGGCTGGCACTGAGAGCATATTGGGTAGATCGGAGCCCACTCTGGGAACACCCATCCCCATTTGGGGGACGTGTTGGGATGATGATGGCTATTGGGCACTCCTGGCTCCAAGGCTGTGCCACCAGATCCGCCAGGGTCACCTGGCACCCACTTAGCTTCTCAGCCAGCTCAGGCAGCCCCTGGGGTCCCTAGGTTGCCCCCCTTCCGGAGGGTACCCAGCATTTCTGTGACGTCCAGCCCCTCCACCTGTCCTGCAGATATTTGAAGGCTGCCCCCTCTCTCCCCTTCGTCTTCTCCTTCAGTCCTTTGATGGGGTCTTAGGATCTTTACCCTCAAAGGCACCCATTCTGGGCTCCCTGTGCCCATCGCTTGGTAAGAGCCGCCAGCTAGACCTGAGTCTTCAGGTTCCTGTGTCCCTGGGAAAGAGACCTAAGCAGAGACAGGGTTGGCACAGAGCAGCGGCAGAGGGATGGGTGGTATGTTCATCAAGAGCCCCTCCTTGACATCTGTGGGGTGTCGTGGGGCAAAGTGGTGCCCAGAGTCACTGGCCTTGTGGGCAGAGGATGTGCGTGGGGCACCTGGGTACAGGGACCTGGGGGCTGCCTCCCAGGGCTGGGCCTAGGTCAGTGTTGCTGCAGAGCTGAGAGAGGCTGAGGCTTTGGGGAGGCCAAAGCCAGGTGATGCAGGGCTCAGGCGTGGTGGCTGGCTGCCTGAGCCTGGGCTGTGTGGCCCTGGGCAAGTTTCCTGGTCTCTCTGAGCGGTGGACCTGCCCTTCCTCCCGGCCTTCCTTCTCCCTCCCCACTTTCAGCTACATTGGGGACTGTGAGATCAGTGTGGAGCTGCAGAAGATCCAGGCTGGTGTGAGTGGGATTCAGGTGCGTGGAACCTGGCGGCATTGCCCCCCCACCCTTCCTGCCTGGGTGGGGAGGCTGGGCAGGGGGAAGCCGGCTCTCACCGGAGCGGGCTGCAGAAAAGGTGAGGACATCACACACAGGCTGATAATGATCAAGGGGCTCCAGGCCCGATGTCACAGGCCCAGAAAGGAGTGACTGGGCTTTACCAACCTTCTGCTTGGCCCCGGGGCCCCACACCTGCCTCTGTTTGTTCAAGTCTCCCCAGGGAGACATGAGCTGCCCAGGGAAGGGCGAGGTTCTGCTTATGGAGTAATGCAGAAGCCGTGCTTAGGAACGGGGTGGATCAAGGAGGGGGGGAGAGCCGTGGCAGAGGAGGAGTGCCGGCGCTGGGGCCCTGCTGGCTGGGCTGGCCGGAGATGGGGGCGAGGCTGCAGGCCCCTCAGGCCCAGTGCACCAGTGGACAGCAGTGGTGGCTAGCCCATGGCCCCTGGTAGCCAGCAGAGGGGTGGCAGCCCTGTGCAGGTTTCTGTCCCCCGCGTGTGGTTCCTGTTGCCACAGCAGGTGGCCCTGACATTTGGGGGCGGCATGGGCACAAGCGAGACAGCAGTGGCCTCGGCCGAGCGCGGCAGGTGCGGGGAGGAGGGAGGCTGAGGTGCAGTTTGCGCCCTCCGTTCCCATCCAGTTGCAGGGCACGCTGCGGGTCATCCTGGAGCCCCTCCTGGTGGACAAGCCCTTCGTGGGAGCCGTGACCGTGTTCTTCCTCCAAAAGCCGGTAGGTCCCGAGGAGGGACGCGGGCCCTGTTTCCCTGTGAGTAAGCACTCGCCTGCTGGGCCCCAGGTGCTGGTGTGAGTCCGAGGATGGAGCTGCCCAAACCAGCCTAGACCCGGGCACTCCACACTCCTCGTGTCCCGCCGTCTGAGGCAGCCTGAGGTGCACGACTCTGCGCTCCCCGAGAGCAGGAAGCAGCTCGCAAGAGCGGCTTGCCCGGGTCACACAGAGGGTCCAGGAGTGTGTCTCTCAGACCTCTCGGTCCAGGCCGGCCTGTGGCCCTGTGCACTGCTCCACTCCTGGCAGGTCCTGGCAGGGAGGCGGCAGGCCTGGCAGCCCCGGACGTCCCAAGCCGAGGCCTGCGTAGGGCTGAGAGGTGCCCTCACCTGCCTGACACCCCTGTGGAGGTGCCCCCCGCAGCCGGCTGCGTTCTCCATGCTGGTGGGTGCCAGGGGCTTGGCAGAGGGACCTCAGCCTTGGGCTTCTGGCTGCTTCCAGTCTAACAGCCTCCCTCTGCCCCTGCAGCATCTGCAGATCAACTGGACAGGCCTGACCAACCTGTTGGATGCGCCAGGAATCAAGTGAGTGCGCCGCGGGAGCTGCCGGACGGACCCCGGAGTGGGGCCCTCTGTGCTGGGCAGCCCGTGACTGGCGCGGCACGGTGGCTGTGCCCTCCTGCCCGGGGCCCCGCGGGAGGAGTGGCGCTTGCACCAAGCTGTCCCTGCTCCGGCGGGAAGAGGGGTGGTGTGTCTGGAGAGGGAGCGGAAGGCTAACAGTGTTGCTTGGCCTCTGTGGGCAGGCGCTGCACCCAGAACGGGCACACACTGGCCAGAGGAGCTGTCCTGGGCGGGGGAGGCCGTGGGGGCTACTGAGAGCACAGGCTCTGGAACCACACCCGGCCAGACCAGGGTCCTGGCTCGGTCGCTCAGCGCTGTGTGATTTCAGACAATTTACTTTACCCCTCTGGGCTCTCCCTCCGTGAAAGGGGAGCCTGCTCCTTCTGTGTTGTGGTCCTGGGAGGACACTTAGGTGTGTGCGGTGGCACAGTGGGGTGGACACACACGATGGCCTCCCTTCAGCTGCACCCCATCCCCTCCCCGATCCAAGTGTGTGGTGAGACACCCACCAGCCCCTCCGCCCGCAGCCATGGTCGCAGGGGGCCGCTCTCCCAGCAGAGGCCAGTGAAGAGGAGCTGGTCCGGGAGATTCCACATTCCTGGGACTGGCTGCGGGGGCTGCTGCCCCCCGAGAGGAGCAGAGGAGGGCTCCGACCCCATGTGGACACATGTCCCCACGAGGGCAAGCTGGGGCTTACCGAGCTCAGGCACCTCCCCAGCCTGCAGGAAGGACCACCGGCCCCTCACCGGGGGTGTTCCCACTGATCCTGGCCCCCTGGAGTCAGAGAATCCAGTTGTACAGTGTGCCGTTTGGCAGATGTTTACTGAGTACTGCTGCCTGCTAGCCCTGCTCTCGGCACTATCCCTGCCCGTCTCCTGGGGAGATGGGGTCCGGCGGTAGAGAATTTTGATGGGATGTCCGGGAGTAGAAGGGCCACGGGAAGAAACCCGTAGCTACAATTACTGTGCACCAGGCGCTGTTCTCTGCACTTTGTGTGTTTTAACTCTCTTTGTAACAACCCTAGGAGGAAGTATTAATATCCTCAGTCTAGAGATGAGGAAACAGGTCCAGAGAAGTTAGCAACTTACCCAAGGTCACACAGCTCATGGGTCACGGAGCCAAGATTGGCACACAGGCTCCAGGTCACCCCTCTTAGCTGCCCCACTGTGATGCCTCAGAGAACAAAGATGGGGAAGAGGGTGGCCGGGGGCTGTCGAAATGTATGCCCCACATCCCCCCAGGCCAGGCAGGCTGGAGTCAGGGCTGTTCTCTCCCCCGCAGGGCCCACCCCGCCCACCAAGCTCTGCTCCTGGCTCTGGTTCTGGGGCTGGCTGGGGGGTAAGGTGACCTGGGGAAGGTAGTGCCGCCCCTCTACAGCTGGCCGTGCCCACTGTCCCCAGTGAGGTGTCAGACAGCCTGCTGGAGGACCTCATTGCCGCCCACCTGGTGCTGCCCAACCGCGTGACTGTGCCTGTGAAGAGGGGGCTGGATGTGACCACCCTGCTCTTCCCTCTGCCCTGCGTGAGTACCCACACTGGCCACGGAGCACTGGGCCCGGGATCGAGGGACACATAGGCTGGCGGAGGGAAGGCATTCTCACATGATGATTGTCTCCATCCGGTGGGAGCGTGGCATCCTCATTTTACTGGGTGAAGACAGGCTTGGGAAGGTTGACTGGCTTGCCCAAAGCCACCCATCTAAGGAGGGGCAGAGCCCAGGTGGCAATCCTTCCTGGATCCTGGCCCCCCTCTGCCGCCTGGGTTGGGGACTTTGGGTAGTCACCCCTGCCCCGAGGAAACTCCAGGAGACTCCTGTCCTTCCTTCAGGGACATGAAGCTCCCCGGACTCCATCATTTGGGGGTGGAAAGGATCCCTGGGATAAATTGGGAAGAATATTCAGTCAGCCTGGGACATGGGACTTTCTTGTGTGCTCAGCCCCACTGCCCCCTCTATCCTGGGCCCCGCTTGGGAGGCCTCTGAACACAGACACACGGCCTCCCTACAGAAGGTGCCCTTCGGGACGGGCAGTCAGGGCTCAGGAGAGGGGTACGTGCCCATTTCACCGTCAGCGCCAGGTATGAGGCATCGGCCTGCTCCAGCCGCACCCGGGTGAGGCCCGGGCTGGCCAGGGAGGCAGCGCACGCGTCCTCACAGTCTTCCCACAGTGACGCGTGGGCTTTATCCCACACTGTGTGTGGCAGTCTCAGAATAACAGCTCAATACCATCACTTGCATCACCATTACTGAAAACAGTCTGTCCTTGGGATATATCCCCAAGGCGTACTGGCAAGTGGCTCCGATTTAAACCCACTTGGAATAGTTCTGTGTGTTTGTGACGACTGGCCATGAATATTTAGATTGATTTGTTTCATTCCATTTTCTATTTTTAGGGCTTAATTTTGACCGTAACTTCCTTTTACCATCATGCAAAATATTTGCAAGCTTCCAAAATCCAATATAAAAAAACAAATTCTGTTTTAAGGAGTCTGGCTTCTGTCCCTTGTTCTCTCCACCTAACCTCCACCCTCCTCCTATAAGTAATGGTTTATCCTTCCACTGTTCCTTATTGATTTTCTAATATGAGCAGATGCACGTACAGTTGTGTGCGTATCTAATTATGGTCACGTTCCCCTTCTTTGATGGATGGCAGTGAACTACAGTTTTCTCCACCTTGCTTTTATCATTCCCTACGTCCTGGGCGCCCCTCAGTGACAGCGTAGACAGAGCCCTTCCTCCTCCAGCCGCACCATGCCCCGTGGGGTGGGTGGCTGTGTGTTACTGAGCTAGTTCTGAGCGCCAGTGAGTTGTGTCGGTCTTCCACAGTTACCGACAGTGCTGTCGTGAACAGCCTCCTACATGTCTTTTTATATTTTTACCAGTATCCTCTTAGAGCTAGAAGTGGGATTGCTGGGTCAAAGGGTAAATGAATGTGTATCTACTGATGTTTTTTTTTTCACTTTAATTCCAGTATGGTTAACATCCAGTGTTAGATTAGTTGCAGGTATATAGTGAAGTGACCCAGCAATTCAGCAATTCCTCAGCCGCTTATCGTGATAAGTGTACATGTATCTACTGGTATTTTAAAAAACAGTTCCAGGCAGGAGCCCTTACTGGCCCCATGAAGTGGGTTTCCTAATTCTTGTGCTCTGTTCTGCCTTAGAACAAAGCTTGAGGGGGAGGGGAGTCAGTGCGGGGCCTTTATGAGCACAGGGACCCACTGCCCACAGCAGGCAGTGCCCATAGGGGTGTGTACCCCTGGGTGTCAGAAAGAAATGACTAGAACTTGCTCTACATGCAGGTTAGAGAGAGGGTGGGGAGCACAGGAGAAAACCTCCTCGGATGGTGGTGGTTGGCACTGGAGGAAATGGCTGCAGTTGAACAAGCCAGTCCCATGGCAGGTTGGAGGCCAGCAAGGTTGGGAGGGCCCGCAAGGTGGGCAGGGTGTCGTGATGCAGCGGACAGAGCCCTGGGCCCTGCCATCACTTGCTGTACGGCTTTGGCGGGGACACTGCCGTAGCTGGCTTCTGTCTCCCATCTAGACATGGAGAAAGTGGGGTGGGCCTGGGGTGATGTCTGATGGCTTCGGCCCCGACGCTACGGGCCTGGAGGGCTGCCACAGCCCAGGAAGCGGCTGTGAGCCCTGGGCTGGGGCATTTTCCAGGGAGTGCTCAGAGTCCACTTGCTGGAGGCCGAGCAGCTGGCTCAGAAGGACAGCTTCCTAGGGGTCCGAGGCAAGTCAGACCCCTACGCCAAGGTGAGCATTGGCCTACAGCATTTCCGGAGTAGGACCATCTACAAGAACCTGAACCCCATCTGGAATGAGGTATTTGAGGTGAGGGTCTCCTGGCTTCTTCTGATGCCCTCCAGGCTCCATGCTGGGTCATGCTGGGTCCAAACAAGGGAGGGCCTCACATACCCATGGGGCAACACTGGGCCCAAGGCGTGGGCCTAGTTCCCACATCCACCAGGCTTCCAGAGCGGGGCTAATGTGGCCCTGCTGGAGGGACAGCTCATAGGTGCATTCCCACCTCCCTTCCCCACCAGTCAGCTTTGTTGGAATTTTTCAGACCAGAGTATAAGACAGAACCTCAGAGTCGGTTCTGCCCAAATCCTCTCAATCTCCCCTGCCAGAGCCTGACGCCAGGAGCTTAAAGTTCTCCCTTAAATTCACCCACAATCGCTACTACTTGAAGAGGAGTACCCACAGCCTGTTTAGCGCTCCAGAAGCTGCGGGCCCCGTGCAGAACACCCAGTAGCCACCGTCCCCTGAGCACCCACCCTAATCCTCCCCGTCCTGCCAGAGGGCATCACTCCCTTCTTAGAGGTGGGGTTCTCCAAAGGCACCGGAAGGCAGGAACCTGCCCAGGGCTCTGAACTGGCAGGTGGCAGAGCTGGAATTTGGCTCCCCTTGGGTCATGCTCGAGCCCTGCTCCATCAGCCATTGTGGCCTGCAGACCAAGTCACCTGTGTCTCCTTCCAGTTTGTAGTGTATGAAGTCCCTGGGCAGGACCTGGAGGTGGACCTATATGACGAGGATCCCGACAGGGACGACTTCCTGGGCAGGTGAAGAGGAGGGCTGAGCTGGGCCCCAAGGGCGTTGGGCTGGGCCTTGGGACACAGCAGCCCTGCTTCCACCACTCAGTGACCTGCACCCCTGGGCTTGGTTACTGTGACACGGTGACTGTGTTAGGCAACTGGCTCCGTTGTTCTACGTTCCTGCCGCTGACCTCCTTCCTAGAAGTCTTCTGAGTGCCCAGCCCTGAGCTGGACTTTGGGGATACCGAGGACCCCAAGGTTTGTGTACCGTGGCTCGGCTTCCTGCACTCCTGATGATGATGCACCCAGAATCCCCATTTGGAGCAGTCGTAGGGGCAAGCTGGCATGGATGGGCAGGTCCCCAGTGCCAAGGAGCCCTGGCCACTTGCTCTGGGGCAGAACCCAAACTCAGGGCTGTGGGAGGACTGAAATGGCTATGCTGGGGCTGGCTATAGAAATTTCAAATTTACATGTCTTTTGGCCCGTTAGCCCCACTTCCAGGAATCTCCTGGAATGCTCCGCAATGAGCAGAACTGTGGTGGCGAAACATCAATAGTCCAGCCTCAGAGGATACTGGCTGAATATTTGAATAAATTTGCCATTGCCAAACTACAGAATATTCTGCAGCTTTTAAAAATGATGAGTAGTAGGATCTATGTGCATTGACATGGAGGACGCCAGTATGGGGGAGAAAGCAGCTGGAAGTGGCTTGTGCAGTCTGATTCATTTCTCCAGGGAGGACCCTCGAGTGTGTGTGTGAGCACAGAGAAGGGCATGGAAGCTCACAGCAGGCTGTTCTCACTGCTCATCTCAGGGGGTTGAGATGAGGAGGCAGAAAAGAGTTTTACCCAAATTTTCACACTGCTGTATTGTTTAGCTTGTTTCCATGAACATGTAATTGTAAAAGCAGAAACAAAGCAAAGTGGGAGGGGCATGATCTGACAGCCTAAGAAACAGCTCACCACCAGATGTTATTTTTCTTTTTATCTTAATGGAAAAAGCTGCAGTTTTTGTATTGTTGCAAGTTAGAAGTGTGGCTTGTAGTTCGTGTTGTGACTGATTTCGAGTGTGTTCTGAGCTCAAGCACATTTCTAATGGCTACACAGTCTCCCCGCCGGCTGTCGGGAGCTCCCGTTTGGGCCTGGGTCGGGTAGGTGGAGGCATGCTGTGAACATGCCAACACATGCATGCCCACTACACTTACCCTCGGAGGGCATCTGGGGTTGTTACAATGACTGTGGGAGGTGGTGCCACTGGCATTTGGAGGGCACAGGACAGGGAAGCTAAATTCCTGCAATGCATGGGCAGTTTTGCACAATGAAGAATCATGCCATTCAAAACACCAGTAGCACCATCACGGAGAAATCCAGAGCCAGTGTGTCCAGTGTCTGCTCATTCTCCTCTGGGGATCGGAGCCACCTGCCTGCCCAGGCAGCAGCCCTGATGGTCAGACAGTCCTTCATTTGTTTGAGCTGCGAGTGGTCTGCCATGGCTTCCTTGGGCTGAATGAGCTCCCCTGCCTTGAGGGCCACACTCCCATCTGCGGCTACTTGCCTCCTTGGAGCGGAGCTGACTCCCTCTGTATTTCAGCCTACAGATCTGCCTCGGGGATGTCATGACGAACAGAGTGGTGGATGAGGTAGAGTTGGTGCCTGTCACCCCCTCCCTGTGGACATCCTTGTTGCCATCTGTCCGTAGAAGGACAGAAGCACTTCTATGACCACCTCTCCTGGTCCCTCAAGCCCAGAGCCCACCCCATCTGGGCTGGGTCACCTTTTCCCTAAAGCCTCTACGAAGGCCCCCCCCCACCCCCCAGGTGCCAGAACGGAACTACTTGAAGAGGGTCAGCAGCACCTCACTGGCCCTTTGCCTGAGCTCTCCTCTCCCTCCTCACCCTCCTCCTGCAGTGGTTTGTCCTGAACGACACAACCAGCGGGCGGCTGCACCTGCGGCTGGAGTGGCTTTCACTGATCGCCGACCCAGAAGCTCTGATCGAGGTGAGTGTGGGGTGTCAGTGCTCCCTAAAGGAAGGGTGTGTGGGTGTGGTGGGGCGGGGGTGGGACTTGTGGCAGGGCTGGTCCGTGTGAGAGCTGTGTGGAAGGGGGCGGGATGAAGCCCCCAGATCCCACTCCCAGAATCGTCCAGCCAGCCCCACCTTCTGCAGAACATGTCCCTCAGCCTCATCTCCACCCAGGGCAGCTCATGACCTCTCAGCAGACAGCCTCTGAGCATCTCAGGAAGATGGGGTCCTCAAAAGCTGTTAGTGCCGGTCAGCCCAGTTCATGGGGAAGTCCCCCCCGCCCCGTGTCTGACTTGAATCTGTCCTGCTGCAGTTGTAGACTCAGTCTCAATCAAAAGCTAGGTTGTGGGGAATCTTAGGGCTTGTCTGGAGTGCAAGGGCTGGCTGGCTTCCTTTCCAAAACCAGTCTGTGTCTCCTGATGCTGCCGCACCTAGTGAGGGTCTGTGTCTGTTTGTAGGACCAAGGTGGCCTCTCAACTGCCATCCTCGTGGTCTTCTTGGAGAGTGCCTGCAACCTGCCGGTGAGTGGTGACATGACCAGTGTCACACCCTGCCTTGTGCCCGTCACTTGCAAATGTCCGTGTGTCATTCATTTATCCTGTCCTTGTGCTATAGAGAAACCCTTTTGACTACCTGAATGGTGAATATCGAGCCAAAAAACTCTCCAGGTTCACCAAGGTAAGTGAAAGCAAGTCGCTGCTCCTTTTCCCCAGAGTGACCACAGCCCTGTCCCCTGGGTGATCATCTGTGCACCCACAGCCTACGGATGACAAGAGTGCCGTTCATTAAGTCTGCTGTGTGCCAGGCACTGGGCTTTACAACTCGTCCCCCATGTTCATTATGCCTGAGTCCCATGATGAGTGTGTCTGTTTTTGTTGCCATCTTACAAGTAGCACCCAGAAGGTTAAGTACCTGAGTCATAAGTTAAAGAGCCAGAACTTGACCATTTCCATAGCCCCAGGGAACAAGAGCCTGTGCCGAACCAGGCCCAGCTCCTGGCCTCTTGTCATTAACTTGGAACCTCTCCTGGGGTTAGCCCTATCCTGGTGCTTGCACAGTTTTGGCAGCCCAGTGGCCCTGGGAGCACCACAGTAGCCTTCTCTCGAAGGGAAGCAATCGGTTGGTCCCAGATCCCACTGATGCTCTGGGAGTTGGGAGGTAAGGTGGGGTGGGGGGTGGTCTCAAGCCAGTGGTGCCACTTTCATTGTTGTGGATTTGCCCTTCACAGAATAAAGTCAGCAGAGATCCTTCTTCCTATGTCAAGCTATCTGTAGGCAAGAAGACACATACGAGCAAGGTAAGACAGCGTGGTATGTAGCCATGGGACAAGGAAAGGGGGCGCCACACCTTTTTAAGGAGAGAAGAAAAGGGAAGGGAATTAGAGAATTGAATGCTTAGTAGGTGCCAGGCTACATTCTAGACAGTTTGTCTTCAGAACAACCTCACAAAATAGTTCTATGGTTTAAGAATCTGAGGGTCAGGGGCGCCTGGGTGGCTCAGTCGTTAGGTGTCTGCCTTCGGCTGAGGTCATGATCCCAGGCTCCTGGGATCGAGCCCCGCATCGGGCTCCCTGCTCCACGGGAAGCCTGCTTCTCCCTCTCTCCCCCTGCTTGTGTTCCCTCTCTTGCTGTGTCTCTCTCTGTCAAATAAATAAAATCTTAAAAAAAAAAAAAAAGAATCTGAGGGTCAGAGATGAGTGACTTGCCCAAGAGCATGAGCTAGAAAGCAGCAGAAATCCTGTTGGTCCCCTCCCCGGGAAGTGAGTGCTAGTGCTGCTGGTATGCTTTTCAGCCCCTGCACAACTTCGTGGGAAAGCTCCCTTCTGGCCTTTGGGTCTGGCTGCCCTGCTCTAATGCCTCCCCTAAGCTGTAGTGTGTGGGGTCTGATCCCCGGGCGGAGGCAGAGAAGGCTCCCAGTGATAGTGGGTGGCCAGCTGAAAGCAGAGGGTGCCAGTATCCTGAGCTGCCCATCCTGACCCTTCAATGATCTTTCTCTCTTCTGTCCCCAGACTTGTCCCCACAGCAAGGACCCAGTGTGGAGCCAGGCGTTCTCCTTCTTTGTGTCCAACGTGGCAGCTGAGGAGCTGCACCTGAAGGTTTGAAGTTGGGCTCCTGGAACAAAGCTAAGAAGTGTCTAACCCAGGAGGGGTGGGGAGCTTGATAATTCACCTTGAGCAGGTTCTCCCAGCAGTAAAGTCAGCCCCTTTTGTGTGGGAGAGGATACAGAGGCCCCACATCTTCATGAGGCTGGTGCCCAAGGACAGTGGGTAAGAGGCTGTGGAAGGACAAGCCCTCAAGTCCCTTGGCTCTCCCTGCAAGACTCTTTCAAGTTGTTACCCAGCACCCAGAGTGGCCTGTGTTGGGATCATCCCAGGACCTTGATGGTGATGTACTTCTTTAAAAAAATAATTTAATCTTCACAAAAGATCTGTGGAAAAGAGATAGCTTCTTTATTTTACACAGAAGCAAATAGAGGCACAAACAGTGACTTAGTCATGAAAGCTTAAACAACAAATGGCAGAACTGGGATCTTTTAAGGCCCTCAGCCCATCAGTCCCTAAAGCCCCTGCGACCCTGAGCATCTGACACACTTGCCTCATAGAGCTCCTAACTGCCTCTACCCTGACTGCAAACGGGGGACAGATCTGGTCCTAGTCCTGGGTTCTCAGAACAGGACCAGAGGCCAATAGAAGCACAGTACATGCTTACTGAAGTGAACTTAGACTTGAATGGGGCCCAGAGAGAGGTGGTGGTGGGTGTGGGGCTTGGTTCTCCTGTTTTGTGACTGGCCCCCTGCCCAGGTGCTAGACGATGACCAAGAATATGCTCTGGGAGTGCTGGAGTTCCCCCTGTGCCAGATTCTACCCTATACAGACCTCACCCTTGAGCAGCGCTTTCAGCTGGACCACTCAGGCCTGGACAGCCTCATCTCCATGAGGCTGGTGCTTCGGGTAAATCTCTCCTCCTGTTCCCCAGGGTACGTGAGGGGTGGAGCTCTGGCCATGGAACAAGGCGGACTATCCCAGCACTAAGTACCTGCTCTGTGCTGAGAAGCTAGGAAATCCATAGTTTTCATCAACTTTGGAATATTGTCAGCTTCAGATATTGCCTCTCCCATTCTAATCCTTCATTCTAGAACTCCTACACTGGACCTTCTCCCCATCTCCTCTGTCTCCACCTGACCTCACTTTCATATTTTCTATTTCTTTATCTCTTGGTGCTACATTCTGATTTCCCCAGATCTGTCTTCTAGACCACTAATTCTTTTCTTTACATATTCATGGTTTTTATTTCAAAGGCTGTTTTTTATTTCTATCTTTTCCAAATCCACTGTGTCTGTTTCTAATTCCATCTTTAATCATCTGAAAATACCTATGCTATAATGTGTGTCTGTGAATTCTATTATCTGAAGATCTTGAGAGTTAGATTTTGATACTTGCTGTATCTGTTGATGCTTTTTCAGGGTGACTCATTTCTACGTTTGGTGACTTGGGCTGCAAACATATGTTGAGTGTTCTTTTGTGACCTAGATTGAGGTTGCTTGCTTCCAAGGAGGTTCTGTTTTGCTATAACCATGCACTTTGGGGGCATTACAAACTAGGGTCCATTCTTAGGTTAATTTTTAAATTTTAGGTTTCAAGATTCCACAGTTATAAATATGAACCAAAATTCATATAAGACAATCCTGTCAGGTGCCATATTCTCAGAAAATATTCAGTTCCCCCAGCAGAGTACAGGCAGAGATGGATATATTTCTTAGCAGTCTTTCCTTGGGGGGAGGGGGGGGCATGGAATGTTTATCCTAGACTACTTTTTTTCCCTAAAGAGACGCCACCTTCATGGTTCCGACTTCAACTCTCAGCCTCACATTGACCTGAGGCCTCTTCTCCTAATTACCCCTTGGATTTTTCAAGGTTGATAAATGACCCTAGGAAAGCTTAGCCTTTATTTTTCAGTAACCCTAGGGGTTTTCCTTACTTTCTTGTAACTTTGGCTATGCATTTAAAAAGGATGTTTGTTTCATTTTATTAGTCATTCTTAATGAGGCTTTTCAGAATATTTGATCACTATAGTGCTAGAAATGGAAGTCCCTAGAAATGGTCTTGATGACAGGGGGAAGGAGAAACACAATGGCTGAGGTTTGAAACTTTGGTTATAGGAGCACAGAGGTGTGTGTGGACAGGAAACACATTTTAGAGAAAGCAATGGTGAATAGGGTGACAGCTGGAAAGGGCCCTATCCAGAAGCAGTGTGTGATATATGTGAAGGTTAAGGTAGAGGTGGAGATTCTGGGAGTCCTTTGCATAGAGGGACAGTACATGCTTTAAGAATGAGCCAGGTCTCCACCAGTCAGTGTGAGTGGGGGCCAGGACTGAGTCCTCATGAAGATTCACTATTGAGGCAGTAGTAAGGGAAAAAGAGAATAATTGGTTACAGGGACCCAGGGGCAGAGAGAGGTTAAGGAAGATATGGGGGTGGGGTGGGGAGAAATCCATTTCGTTGGGCAGTCAGAAAGGAACCATTTCCCAGAGGTTAAGATGAGAGCAGAGGAGGAGAAAGTGGATGTGGGAGGCCCAGCCCATAATCCTGTCATCTGCTTACAGTTCCTGCGCGTGGAAGAACGAGAGATGGGGAGCCCATACACAGGACCTGAAGCCCTAAAGAAAGGTCCTCTGTTCATTAAGAAGGTGGACACCAACCAGGATCCCAAAGCCCCATCCCAGGGAGAGTGCCCTGCAAATTTGCCATGCCCCCCAGATCCTGCTTCTGATACCAAAGAAACCTGCACGAGCACCATGACAACCACCAGGGCCACTATTGTTGCCACCGAGCCCATGCCCCAAGAGACAGGCCCAGAGCCCAAAGGCAAGGACAGTGCCAAAGGGTTCTGTGAGCCCTTGGGGAAGAAGAGGAGTTCAGCCACCACCTTCCTGACTGTCCCAGGCCCCCACTCTCCAGGGCCCATCAAGTCACCCAGACCCATGAAATGCCCTGCCTCCCCACTCGCATGGCCGCCCAAGAGGCTGGCTCCCAGCATGTCCTCGCTCAACTCCCTGGCCTCCTCCTGCTTTGACCTGACAGATATCAGCCTCAACCCTGAGTATGCACCTCTCTGCTTAATCTTGTCTACAATGACCTGTGTGGAAAATACATTCCTGGATGGAAAAGTAGATATACAAACTCACTTTTCTCTGCAAGTTCTGGTCTTTTACAAAGTGGCTTCATGAGAGGCAGCATGGTATATGCTAGAAACACAGGGCAAGGGAGAGAAAGAGAGCAAGTGCATTCCCGCGGTAACCAGGTGCTGGGCTTTGTTTGTTAAGGTTCCTTACGACAGAAATATTTCCTGAATTCTCAAGTGTACTGGGATGATATGGAAAGCTTAGAATGTGGAAACAGATCATCAATGGCTGCCATTTATTGACTATGAGCTTAGCATGTTATTTAATTCCATCTTCACAATTACCCTAGGAGATAGAAGTTAATATCATAAAGGTCGAATAACTCACCGAAGGTCCCACAGGAAATCATGGTATAAAGGCAGATCCCATTCCAGGGTTCATGTTCTTCCTACTGTGAAGTGGGATGATTACATGTGAATGGATGGAACTGACTTCTGACTGAAAGGCACCTCAGTGAGAATTACTAACGCACATGGCTCTATGTGCCTAAAGCAGGGCGTGCTTCTGTCTTAGGGGCTGGGGGAGAGGCCAACACCCGTAATGGCAAGGGGAGTGACGAGCCCTTTCCTCACAGAGGCGGGGAGCTCAGGCGGCGGAGGCTGGGTGAGGTGCAGCTCACCGTGCGTTATGTGTGTCTGCGGCGCTGCCTCAGTGTGCTCATCAACGGCTGCAGGTAACGGGGGGCTGGGGCCGGGGGAACGAGAGAGTGGAGGTGCTTGAAGTAACGTAGGGGTGGGCATCCTAATACACTAGGAAGGAGTGAGGTGTGAAGGCGGCATGCGGTGAATGACAAGGTCCTCAGTGACACCGGTAGGCGGGCTCCAGAGCCAAGGGCTTCGTTTAAATATAACCACTGCAAAAACTGTTTGAGCGGACTTGGAGCCAGTACCTTTTCTCAAGTGCGAATCTCCAATTTCCTTTAGATGGGAAGTACTCGCTCTACTCCAGGCTTTAAAAAACACGTGTTTTCAAAATCCTGCATCTGGTGTTTTATCCTCCAAATTCTGCAGACTTTTGCTTTTTGGTCATCTAGACAAGGCATTTTTATCCACAAGCCATCTCAAGCTGAATGGCTAGTACAGCCTTCTCCAAGAGTCCTTTCAGTGTTTCAAAACTTTTTTCTTTAATGTCTTTGAAACCAAATCAGAAACCTGACACCCTGTACCAGCAGTGGGGCTGATCCCTATGTCCGTGTCTACTTGTTACCGGAGAGGAGGTGGGCAAGTCGTAAGAAGACCTCAGTAAAACGGAAGACCCTGGAACCCCTGTTTGATGAGACGTAAGTGAACCAAACTGCCCTGCTTAGAGTGTCTTATCATTCAAGTATTTGCTGAGTACCTGTTGTGTGCCTGGCAAGCCTGCCCAATGCTGGGAAGGGCTAGGTCTGTGGGCCTCGGGATAACACAGTCTATGCATTCATGAAATTTCTATACATTAGTGGGAGAAAAGGACTGCCAGGGCAGTTTAGCAAAACAGCTACCAACTTTTCTTGCTCATAGAGGCTAAAATGTTTCTGATTATGAACTGCTCCCTACTTTTTCTCTTTAAATGAAGCCTCTTTAGCACTAAAAGGATTTAAATCTGACCAAATATGTTTTCTTTGACTGTTTTAAAGTAGCAGTTAAAAACAAACATATCTTGAATCTGATACCTAAAATTTCTTCTGAAGCTCCAAGCTCTGTGGCCTGTCTTCCCTTCTGCAACAAAGCATAAGTGGCAAGTGAAACAGATGTCCTCCCCTGACTTGTCCACCCATGTGCTTGGGTACACGACTGACAGATCCTAATCACATTTCTTGCTTTTGATGGGTCTCGTATAGCAAGTCTTACGTGAAATATTCTGTACCTTGAGGTCAACTGGAAGTCAAGAAGTCAAAATTTCATTATTGCTTCCTTCTGCTTCAGAATCCTAACAAAAGCCATTTCTAACCAGCCTGGGAAGATAATATACCTGATAATTTTGATTTCCTCTTATCTTGGTCAGTAGTTACTCATTTTAAATAAGAGTTATATTGAGTCCTCTTTGGGCCTTGTCTAAGAACTAATACTTTCCTTTAAGAGCTTCCCTTGGAGTTCATTGATATCAAGAAAGGGTGTGGGAAAGAGAATCTATTCATTATTTATTGAACACTTTATGCCAGGCACCATCCTATATTCTAGAGCCACACAAGTAAAAGACTTTGCCCTCAAATAAAAGGATTTCACAGTTGCTATGTGGGAACACAGGAGGGAGAGGTTTGACATTTGGCTTTTGTGACAAACCTGATCTGTTTGTTAGTAATTCTCTCTCAAAATTGTAACAGTAAGATATGACCAGGTTATCTGGAGGGCAGACTTGGCAACCTCCACCCTCACGATAAACCTAGAAGTAAGGAGCCCGGAGACCTCTTGTGAGTACATGACCCATATTAAGACACATTATAATTAAAGTGTCAAAAGTTAAAGGTAAGGGGAGAATCTTAAAAACAGCAAGAGAAAAGCTTGTTACATATTAAGGGAACCCCTTTGGACAATCAGCAGATTTTTCAGCAGAAACTTTGCAGGCCAGAAGGGATTGGCACAATATAGTCAAAGTGCTGAAAGAAAAAACTTCCAAGAATACTCTATCTGGCAAAGTTGTCATAAAGAATTAAGTTATTACCACTGGACTGGCCTTAAAAGAAATGTTAAAGGGACTTTGTAAGCTGAAAAGAAAGGGTGCTAATTAGTAACAACACATATAAAGGTATCAATCTCACTGGTAAAGGTAAATATATAGTAAAGGTAGTGGATTAATCATGCATAATGCCAGTATGAAGGTTACAAAACAAAAGTACTAAAAATAACTATCACCACAGTAACTAGTTTGTTTTTTTTTTTTTAAGATTTTATTTATTTACACAGTAACTAGTTTTAAGGGATATAAAAAGATATAAAATGTGGTGGGGCTGGGTGAAAGCTTTAGAATGCTTTCAAACTTAAGATATTATCAGCTTAAAGACTGTTCTGTGTAAGCCTCAGTGTAACCACAAAGCAGTAACCTATAGTAGGTACACAAAACTTAACTTAAAAAGAAAGTAATCTAAGCATACCACTAAAGAAAGTCATAAAACCACGATGGAAGAGAGCAAAAGAAGAAAGGAATAGAGAGGGACTACAAAACAGAAAACAGCAAAATGGCATTGACTACTATTAATATAAATTAAACTCTCCAATCTAAAGATACAGAGTGGCTGAAAGGATAAAAAAAACAAGACCCATCCATGTGCAGTTTTTAAGAGATTCATTTCATACACAAACTGATAGTAAAGGGATAGAAAAAGATATTCCAAGCAAATGGAAACTAAAAGAAAACTGGGGTAGCTATACTTCTATCAGACAAAATAGACTTGAAAACAGCATTACGTAACGATAAAGAAGTCAATCCACTAAGAGGATATAACATTTACAAATATTTACACACGCAACATAGGAACAGCTAAATATATAAATCAAATATTAATAGACCTAAAGGAAGAAATAGCAATACAATACTAGTAGAGGACTTTAATACCCCACTTATATCAATAGTAGATCATCCAGACAATCACTAAGGAAATATCAGCCTTAAATGACATGTTATACCACTGGGATTTAACAGATAGATACAGAACATTTCATCCAAAAGCAGAATATACACAATATAAGTTCTTTTCAAGTGTACATGGGACAGTCTCCAAGATAGATCATATGTAGGTCACAAAACAGGTCTTTAAGAAAATTGAAATTATATCATGCATCTTCTCTGACCACATGGTATGAAACTAGAAATCAAGTACAAGAAATAAACCAGAAAATTCACAAGTATGTAAAGATTAAACACCATGCTACTGAACAACCAACCGGTCAAAGAAGAAATCAAAAATATCTTCAGACAGATGGAAAATACAACTTGCCAAATTCGTGGAATGCAGCAAAAGCAGTTCTAAGTGGAAAGTTCACAGTAATAAATGCCTACATCAGTAAACAATAAAAATCTCAATCTCAGTTTATACCTCAAGGAACTATAAAAAGAATGAAGAAAGTCCAAAGTTAACAGATGAAAGGAAATAAAGATCAGAGCAGAAATAAATTATAGAAATAGAGACTAAGACAATAAAAAAGATCAATGAAACTAAAAGTTGGTTCTTTGAAAAGATAAAATTGACAAGCCTTAGGCTAGACTCATCAAGAAAAAACACAGATTCAGAAAGGAAAGAGGAGACATTATAACTAATACCAAAGAAGTACAAAGGATCATGAGACCGCTATGAACAAAATTATATGCTAACAAATTTGACAAGCTAGAAGAAATGGGTAAATTCCTAGAAACATACAATCAAGACTGAATAATGAATAGAAAATCTGAACAGAACAACTACTAATAAGGAGACTGAATCAGTAATCAAAAATCTCCCAACATGGGGGGGATGGGTTAGCCCGATGATGGGTATTAAGGAGGGCATGTTCTGCATGGAGCACTGGCTGTTATACGCAAACAATGAATCATGGAACACTACATCAAAAACTAATGATGTATGGTGATTAACATAATAAAATTAAATTTAAAAAAAAATCTCCCAACAAAGTCCAGGACCAGATGGCTTCACTGGTGAATTCTACCAAACACTCAAAGAATACCCATCCTTTTCAAACTCTTCAAACAAACAAAAAACAGAAGAAGAGGGAACACTTCCAAACTCATTTTACAAGGCCAGCATTACACCCTAATACCAAAACCAAACAAGGACACAAGAACAAATTACAGGCCCTCTATGAACATAGATGCAAAAATCTTCAGCAAAATATTAGAGAGCTGAATTCAGTAATATATTAAAAGGATCATACATCATGATCAAGTGGGGATCCCAGAATGCAAGGATTATTCAGTATCCATCTGCAAATCAATATGAAACATCAAATTAGCAAAAATCGTATGTTCATCTCAATGGATGCAAATAAAACATTTGACAAAATTTAGTATCCATTTATGATAAAACTGTCAACAAAGTGGGTATAGAGGGAATGTACGTCAATGTAATAAAGGCCACAGGAGACAAGCCCACAACTAACATCATACTGAGAGGTGAAAACCTGAAAGCTTTTCCTCTAAGATCAAAAACAAGACAAGGATGCCTACTCTTGCCACCTTTTTAGTTTTGGAAGTCCTAGTCAGAGCAATTAAGCAAGAAAAACAAAAGGCATCCAGATTGAAAAGGAAGAAGTAAAAGTGTCACTGTTCACAGATGACATGACATTATAGAAAACCCTAAAGATTCCACCAAAAAACCATTAGAACTAATCAACAAATTCAGTAAAGCTGCAAGATACAAAATCATATACAAAAATCTGTTGCATTCTATACACTAACAATGAATTATCAGAGAAATTAGAAAACAATACCATTTATAGTTGCATCAAAAAGAATAAAATACCTAGGAATAAATTTAACCAAGGAGATGAAAGATCAATACATTGAAAGCTGTAAGACATTAATGAAAAAAATCGAAGACAACACAAATAAATGGAAAGATAGTTACTGCTCATAGAATGGAAGAATTAATGTTGTTAAAATGTCCATACTACCCAAAGCAATCTACAGATTTAATGCAACTCTTTCAAAATTCCAATGGCATTTTTCACAGAACTGGAACAAATCCTAAAATTTGTATGGAACAACAAAAAACCCAAAGCAATCTTGAGAACAAAGCTGGAGGCATTACACTACTTGATATCAAACTCTGTTAAAAAGCTATAGTAATCAAAGCAGTATGGTTTTCGCATAAAAACAGACACAAAGATCAATGGAACTCAATGGAACAAAATAGCTCAGAAATAAACCTGCACATATATGGGCAATTAATTTATGACAATAGTCAATATGACAACTTATGGGAAAGGACTGATTCTTCAATAAATGGTGCTGGAAAAACTGAACAGCCACATTTAAAGGAATAAAACTGGACCACAATCTTACATCATACCCAAAAATAAACTCAATATGGATTAAAGACTTGAATGTAAGACCTGAAACCATAAAACCCCTAGAAGAAAATATAGGCAATAAGCTCCTCGACATTGAACTTGATGATTTTTTGAACTTGACACCAAAAGCAAAGGCAACAAAAGCAAAAATAAATGCAACTAGCTCAAACTAAAAAGTTTCTACACAGCGAAGAAAACTGTCAACAAAATGAAGAGGGAACCTACTGAATGGAAGAAAATATATGCAAACCATTTATCTGATAAGGGGTTAATATTCAAAATATCCAAAGAACTTATACAATTCAAAAGCAAAAAAAAAGTCTGGTTTAAAGATAGAGAACCTGAACAGGAATTTTTCCGAAGAAGACATACAGATGGCCAACAGACACATGAAAAGGTGCTCAGTATCACTAATCATCAGAGAAATGCAAATCAAAACCACAATGATCTATCACCTCATACCTATTAGAATGACTATTATGAAGTGTTGGTAAAGATGTGGAGAAAGGGAACCCTGGTGCACTGATGGGGGGAATGTGGTGCAGGCACTGTGGAAAACAGTACAGAGTTTCATCAAAAAACTAAAAATAGAACATATGATCCAGCAATTCCACTTCTGGATATTTATCCAAAGAAAATGAAAATAATTCAAAAACACATACATACTCCCATGCTTGCTGCAACGTTATTTACAATAATAGAAAAGGCATGGAAGCTACCTAAGTGTCCACTGATGGATGAATGGATAAAGAAAATGTGGCATATACACAGTGGAATATTATTTGGCCGTAAAAAAAAAAAATCTTGCCATTTGCAAAAACATGGATGGACCTTTAGGGTATTATGTTAATATGTGGAAATCTAAAGGAAACAAAAAGCCCATAAAGGATAGCAAAAAAACAAAAGATGCCAAGCCCGTGGATATAAAGAACAGATTGGTGGCTGGTGTTATGTGTGTGTGTGGGCAGGGTAGAGATAGGTAAACGGGGTCAAATGGAAAAAATTTCCACTTATAAAATGAATAATGGGGATATAATGTTCAGCATGGTGACCATATTTAATAATACTGTATTACATATTTGAAAGTAGCTAGATCCAACAGAATGGATCTTGAAAGTTCTCATCACAAGAAAAAGTTTTTATAACTATGTATGGTGATGGATGTTGACTTACGATGATCATTTTGCAATATATACAAATATCAAATCATTGTTAAACACCTGAAACTAATGTTCCCTTACCTCAAAAACAAAAACATACCTAGAAGTAAGGATTCCAGTGGCCTCTTGTGAGTATATGACAAAGCTTATACACTAAGATTCCTCTGCCTTACTCCACAGGCAGAAGGGGGAAGGGCCACTATTTTCTATGAAACTCCATTGCAGCTGACTCCTCAGCATCCTAGTCCTTAGCTGGTCAGAAAAGACAACGGAGGTAGGGGTGGAGGTGGTCCTATGAGCAAGCACTGTTGAGAGTGAGAAGGGGCAGCTGAAAGAAAGGCAGCCAGGGTAGGCTCAGAGAAAGTAAGAAACCCCAAAGCACAGTAGTACAAGGCACTTCACAGGCAAACAGCCTCTTAATACGTCCACGGCTTGTGATTAGCATAGGACTGTGATTACCTGTAATAATGATGCACTGAATATCTGCTATGAGCCAACTGTTCTGCACGGTCCCCTAAATAGTCTATAGCTTCTGTTTTAAAAGTAGGAAAATGGATCAAACACTTCAGATTTTCAACAAAAATGATTAAAATATGTAAATCTAAAAAAAAAGTAAATCTCACTTTCTGACTTTTTGCATCTTAAAGATTTGAATTTTTTGTTCCCATGGAAGAAGTAAAGAAGAGGTCACTAGATGTCGCAGTGAAAAACAGTAGGCCACTTGGCTCACACAGAAGGAAGGAGCTAGGAAAAGTAAGTACAAGAGGGACTCTTGGTACTCTGTCCCCTGGCACTCTAAACTGGAGTTCACTGGTGGAACACCTTGCAGAAATTCTGATGGGATCATCTGGGTGTTACCAGTGGCTTTAAGGATGTTAGAGCCTCACTGGGAGGTTTTTGGGTGTGTGTGTTTTAACATTGTTGAAAGTAAAACAGATGTGTAAATTAATATAAATACTGTTTTAACAAACTGGAGAATCTATCCAAACTCATTATTGCGTAAGTATTTGAACATCTATTAAGTATTGTTTTGATAAATATAGCACTGTGTGAAGCTTGGGTCTCATTATGTCAAGATTTTTGTGGAGATGGGATTTTACTTTAAGTAGAAGTAGAGAAAATATAATCTTCAGGAAGATGCCAAGGACAGACAAAAAGAATGACATTTGTACAATACTTTGCAGTTGTATTTTAATAAAGACCTTCTTTTTAAGATCCTGCTTCTATGGTGTAGGTGAAATTATCTTCATTTTTACACAGTTGAGGCAACTATGGTGTCTTGCTTAAAATTACGAATCAGTTCATGAGTAAAGGCAAGTTGTTCTCTCTTTCAGTAACATTTATAAATTCTGAGGTTTAACTCCAAAGAGCAGTTCACCTTTTCCCAGTACACTGAGGTCAGTGTCTATATTGCCCTTCTGGAGAGGTTCCATGTTGAGAGCTAAAAGAAAAAGAGTCCCTGCTCAAAACTGAAACCCAAGGAGGCCCTTTTTACGATCAATTCCATTTGTCCCAATATGTTTCCATTTAATGCAGTTTTTGGAAGGAAACTGATTATTTGTGTTTGTTTAGGTACTGATTGACTTATCAAAAGAGGATCTGATTAAGGGCTTCTCACAATGGTAAGTGAGCCCTTTCATTTTATCACATTAATCTGGTACTCAAGACACTGTCTCCGACAGTTGCACATAATCTTTCTCCAAAATTCTTCCTTTTTCAGTACATGTCCACTTCTTTGCTTATCAAGGAAGGAGACACATTATAACCTATACTTAAGGCTTTTCTGCCTGCAGTTCTCACTTACCTAACAGACCTCTGTAAGCTCTAGCCTTAATCCTGGCTGGTCGACTTACAAAGGGATGGGTTCTCCCTGTCCCCCAGGGGCCTAGGCTGGCTAGAGGAGGCTGCTTGGCCTGATGCTGCCACCAAAACACACTCTCGATACTAACACAAGTCCAAACCCAACTGTCTTACAGGTACGAGCTGACTCCAGATGGACAGCCCAGAAGTTGATGAGCACCCTCACTACCTTTATAGTAAAATGTGTACATATGTATATTTTGTAATTTAAATCAGAACAGCCAGTTGAAAATATATACATACATTTTTGTGTGAAATTTAAGTACATGACTGGATAATATTAGGGAGAGGTAAATGTATATAAAAGCAAGTACTGTTCTCTCTCAGATGGATTTAATTGTTCAAATCCAGAAAGAAATGGGGTATTCATACTTAATAAATTATCAGAACCTCAGTGGTGATTTTTTTATGTAGGTAATTACACACCATATAACTTGGGATTTGCCCAAATGTATGTGTCCAAAGTGTCCTGTCTCAGACATAAGGGGTGAAGGAGGTCTGTTCCTGGAGCAACTACCAGTATTCCTGGGAAGTGACTGACCAAGGGAAGAGGCTTCTTTTATGGGAATAAAAAATGACCCACACTAAAAGTGCCAAAAGCCAACACTACCTAAACCCTTCTGGTCCTTCTGCCACCTCTGGTACTTCGCTGCCAGGAAATTTGTTCCTGTATCTACTGTAGAACTAACATGTACTTTTCTGATGGCAACAATGTTATAGTGATATACCTAAATACCCTGAGTTAAATACTCCAGTGTGGGATGGCCTGGCCCCAAACTCCAGCACATGGCCTCATTTCCATAGGAAAAAGCAAACCAAACCCCAAGCCCAGGTCTACATCTCCACTCCCACAGCACAGCATGAGAGAATGCTGCAGAGTGTTAGTGCCAGAAGAAGAAGGAGCTTCTTGCCTGTCTCTCAGATGGTTTGGCAATTCTATTCCACTTTTCTAAGACATGGCTGGTTCACCTAAATAGCATTTAAAAGCAAAATATGTAAATTGCACAAATGCCTCTTTTGCATTTCAAACTTTATAACACCAAATATTCTTATCCTCTCTGTTATCCTAGAGTTACCCTTGAGTTCGCATCCTTTTCTCTTCACTCAGGCAACAGCCCCTGCCATCAGTTTCCTGGTCCCCTCCCCCACACTGCCTTCACTGCTGCTTTTCTGAAGAATGGTAACATCTTTAAGTTTCTGTTATGTTACTCTCACTTATAAATTATCCATGATTTCCTGTTTTCTAGAAGAATAACACCCAATCCTTAATTTGTCCTTTAAACCTAACAATCTAGCCCCCAGTGTTTTACAACTTTATGTGCAGATGCTCTATTCCAGAATAGTCTATGTATCATATCCTGCCTACTCAAATCCTATCCTCTTCAAAAGCCTTGTCTCAAAACCCACCTCTGTTGTGCCAGTCCACACTGAAATGGCCTTTCCCCCACCTCCTACAGCATTTACTGTCAATGCTGTGTATTTTTTAATAATTCCCTGCCTTGTAACATGTAATTATTAAAAAGGCTTATTAGGTATCTATGAAGATCACATACTAGGCAACTACGCATATTGTTTGAAATTTAATGTTTGTTTACTGTCCATCCAGTTGAAGTTACTGTAATTGATTTTCAGCCCCCATCATCCAGACTATGCTAAGTACATGGTAGATGTGTAATAAAATTTGTTTCTGCTAAGATTTCTATTTTGAGTGACAAATTCTCGTAACAAAAATCAGGCAACTGATGCCTGTCCTGTCTACTTCACAATGGCATTGGAATGTTTACTAAATACATGTGCCTTGAAAATGGTAAAGCATCAGAGACGTATAAGGGAATGCATCATGTATCACATCCTGAATATTAGCAACCCTAAAACAACTTCTGGTTAAGATGGCCAACAAGTGAAAACCTATCCCTTCCTCTTCCAAACACAGAGAAAACCTACTTAAACCAGGAACAGCATTTATTTTAAACATGGCTGATTAAGAAGTAACACAGGTAAATTTCCTGGTGATGGTCCAAAGAGGAAATTTAAAGCAGTGTACAGGAGTTGTAGGGGAATTTAAGTGTTGACAGGAACCAGAATTTTAGCATACACTGACAGAAGGCAAGGCTTATGTAAGGGACAAGAAGCCTGAAAAGTTTTGTATCAGAAAACACCTTGGCTGCCAATGAGGACAAGGAACTGGCTGTCAACAGTGAGTGGAAGCAGTCAACTAATCTGTCCTACAGGAACACAGGGTCTGAGGTTACACACAACTGACTTGGAATAGAAACCCCAAACCTTGAAACTAATGTGAAAACTGGTTTAGAACCTACAATCACGTGAAGCCCTGACACAGGCAACCACAAAACTGGCCGTTAGGGTTGCCAGGCCCATCCAGGGCACATGTGGGACCCCTGCAGCATGTAATTCCCACTAAAAGAAGCTCATGGGCAAAACTATACAATAAAATTGCAATTTTAAAAATATAAAACACATGGGAACATCAAACCGAAAAATGGCCATGAGATGTATTTCAGCAAGAAAGAAAGTGTAATATTCAGAAGTGGTACATGGGAAACAATGGGGAGCGAAGAAATCCACAAAGTGTTAACCTAAGTCTTGACTGCTTACAAAATATAAACAGGCAAGCAACCAAAAGTTTTTGCAAAAACTGGGTTCAAAAACACAGTGGCACTAAAATGCTGGTATTAACATTTAAAAAGGGACAAGAGGCTGGTTCAGTGGAAAGTTGAAGTGTTCAGGTCATTATCTTATTTAGGAAACTAAAGATAGTTTTATATTTTAAAAATAAACTACAGATAAATTTGGGTCAGTTACTATCTTATCACCTCTCAGCTCCACATCAGCCCATCTTTGCCGTCCTTTGATGATTCAAGGGACACCAGACTTGTCTCTTTGCCAGGGGGCTTGATGTTAGGCTTTCCCAGTAGAGGGCATTGGAGAGACACTGCAAGGCCAGAGGAGCAAGAAAAGGGGACTTTTTTTTTTTCTACTAATGTGCTGTTTTCCATGGCAGCTAGCTGGTTGTTGCGTGGAGGCTGATCTCTGTCACGGAAGCACCCCTCACAGTTTACCCTTGGCTCATGTCCTTGGGCTCTGCCACCATAACCATGGCCTTCATGGTTCAGCACCAGCCAGCAAGTTGGGTTGTTTTGTTCTTTTTTTTGCCACAAGTAGGCTTCTTCCTATGGCCGCCAAACCTCTCCTCAAAGTTTTCAATCTCAGCCTAGTTGGAAGGCATTCTTCCAAATTTCACAATTTCTTTCTTCACTCTCCTTTATCCCTGAGGGTAGTATCTACTTTCTGCAGTTGCTATTCTGTACCTCCTAGAGTCCTCTTTTATCCCCTTTCATAGTAGTTAACTACCTTTTACTAGTTAGCAATTCTTGTTTTAAATTTTCCTGTTAGCTACCTATGCAACGTGGTTTGTCTGCTGATTGGACCCTAAGTATATATTTAAAATTTTAAGATAATCAATAAAATAGAGTAACAATAGAAAAATCAATAGAGCTGAACTATAAAACTTCTAAATCAATAGTGGAGAAGAAAAAGTAATAGAGGAAAATCAACCCCCCCCAAAAATAAAGAAAAAAAGTACAGAAAAAAAATGATGATTAGGAAAAAACAAAAGAAAATAGTCAAAAGACCTCTAAATATATTTACAATCACAATAAGCCCACTACTAAAGCCTAGAATGTCAAATGATGCTGGGAAAACTGGACAGCTACAGGCAAAAGAAACGACCACTTTCTTACACCATACACAAAAATAAACTCAAAATGGATTGAAGACCTAAATGTGAGACATGAAACCATAAAAGTCCTGGAAAAAAATATAAGCAGTAATCTTGTTGTTATTGGACTTAGCAACATTATTCTGGATAGGTCTCCTCAGGCATGGGAAACAAAAGCAATTAAACTACTGGGAGCACATCAAAACATAGAGCTTTTCATCTGACTCTTGATTTTGGCTCAGGTCATGATCTCAGGGTCGTGAGATTGAGCCCTGTGTTGCGCTCTGTGCTCAGCATGGAGTCTGCTTAAGATTCTCTGTCTCTTTCTCCTCCCCCTGCTAGTGCATGCTCTAGTTCTCTCTCTCTTTCAAAATAAAATACTTTTAAAAAATAAAAATGAAAATAAAAAATAAAAAGCTTTTGCATAGCAAAGGAAACCATGGACAAAACAAAAAAAGCAACCTACTGAATGGGAGAACATATCTGCAAATGATATATCTGGTAAGGGGTTAATGTCCAAAATATACAAAGAACCTATACAACTTAACACCAAACAACAAATAATCCAATTAAAAAAATGGGCAGAAATAAAAAAAAATTAAAATTAAAAAAATAAATAAATAAATAAATAAAAATAAAAAAATGGGCAGAGGACCTGAATAGACATTTTTCTGAAGAAGACGTGCAGAGGGCTGACAGACACATGAAAAGATGCTCAATATCAGGGGCACCTGGATGTCTCAGTCAGTAGAGCATGTGACTGTTGATCTCAGGGTCATGAGTTGGAGCCCCATGTTGGACAGAGATTACTTAAAAAAAAAAAAAAAAAGATGCTCAATATCATTAATCATCAGGTAAATGCAAATTAAAACCATAAGGAGATATTACTTTATAGCTGTCAAAATGGCTAGTATGAAAAAGAAAAGTAACAAGTGTTGGCAAGGATGTGGACAAAAGGAAACCTTTGTCCACTGCTGATGAGAATGTAAGTTGGTACAGCCACTGAGGTTCCTCAAAAAATTAAAAGTAGAAATACCATATGATCCAGTAAATCCACTACTGAGTATTTACCCAAAGAAAATGAAAAGACTAATTTGAAGGGTGCCTGGGTGGCTCAGTCGTTAAGCGTCTGCCTTCGGCTCGGGTCATGATCCCAGGGTCCTGGGATCGAGCCCCGCATCGGGCTCCCTGCTCAGCGGGAAGCCTGCTTCTCCCTCTCCCCGGCAGAGGAAGACAAAAACCATATGAATTCACCTATATGTGGAATCTAAAAAACAAAACAAAGGAACAGACAAAGCAGAAACAGATCCATAAGTAGAGAGCAGGTAGTTGCCAGAGTGCAGGGGGCTGGGGGGATGGGCAAAATGGGTGAAGGGGAGTAGGAGGTACAGGCTTCTGGTTAGGGAATGTTTATGTCACAGGGATAAAAGGTGCAGCATTGGAAATACAATTAATGGTATTTTAGTAACACTGTATAGTGACAGAGGGCAGCTACACTTGTGGTGAGCACATTATAATGTATAGAGTTGTTGTACCCCTATGTTGTACTCCTAAAACCAATGTAATACAGTATGCCAACTATACTTCCATTAAAAAAAAAAAAAAAGACTCCAGGTGATTAGACTCAATGTGATAAGGCAAAACTATACAGCTATAAGATAACATAGGAGAATAACTTTACAACTGCGACTAGGGAAAGACTTCATAAGACACAGAGAGCACTAAACTATAAAGGTAAAGACCATACATCTCTATACTAAAATTGGGTTCTTCAGTTCATAAAAAGAGACTACAGTTGACCCTTGAACAACATGGGTTTGAATTGCTTGGGTCCACTTTTATATGGGTTTTTTTTATAAATACAGTATTATAAATGTATTTTCTCTTCCTTATGATTTTCTTAACATTTTTTTCTCTAGCTTACTTTCTTGTAAGAGTACAGTACAGAATATACACAACATATTAAGTGTGTGTTAACTGACTGCTTACATGATCGGTAAGGCTTCCTTCTGGTCAACAGGAGGCTATTAGTAGTTACGTTTTTGAGGAATCAAAAGTTATACACAGATTTTTGACTGCATGGGGAGCAGGGTGGCACCCCCAATCCCCACGTTGTTCAACAATCAACTGTACAGGAAAATGGAAAGAGGACACAGAATTGCAAAAAACATTTGCTACACATAAATGTCAAATGGCTCATGTCCAAAATATATAACTCCTACAAATCAATATGAAAAGACAGGTAGTCCAACAGAACAATGAATAAAGGACATATCTAAGCACTTTAAAAAAAGAAATACAAATGGCCAACAAAGGAAAAGATGCTTAACTTCATTAGTAATCACAGAAATAAAAATTACAACTATAAAAATAATTCTATACACTACAATGGCAAAAAATTGAAAATCTGACTTACCAACAATTGGTCAGTGGAAAAGTGGGAACTCTCATACATTGATGGTGGGAGTATAAATTGGTACAATCACTTTGGAGAATAGTTTGGCATTTTCTTCTGAAGTTGAAGGTAAACATTCCCTATCAAAACTGCCACAATGTACAACCCCCAAGGCTCCACTGACATCATTATCTATAGGAATATATTACCTTTAATTGTACAGACCAGAGGCTCTGTGGCAGTATACACGAGTGTTTTCCCCTAGGGCCCAGCAATTTTACTTCTTGGATATTGATTCTAGAAAACTTGCACACAAGTGTACAAGGATGCATATACATAATAGCAGCAGTTCACAATAGCCAAGAACAAGAAACAACCCAAATATCAATTGCCAGTAGAACAAATGGACTGTGTAATATTCATAGAGAAATACTAGACACCAATGAAAACAATAACCTGGACCAACAGACAACATGGATCAACAGTATAAAAATAATATTGAACCAGAAGAGGGGAAAGATGGCGGAGGAGTAGGGGACCCTATTTCAACTGGTCCCCGG